GACTCAACCAAGATCCACACCTCACTCCATATACAAAAACCAACTCAAGGTAAATCATGGACCTAGGACTAAAACCAAGGACTATAAACTTAATTAAAGAAAAGCTAGGAACAACAATAGAAGTCCTAATCCACAACATAAACAGTCTTCCAAGTATCCTGAAAAACCTATAACTGGGAGAAGATAAAGTAGAGGAATGGGATCTTCTAAGAATCAAATCCCTATGCACATCTAAAAAATTTTCCAACAGGGTAAAAAGGGAAAGCACCGACTGGGAAAAAGTATTTGGTAATGACATGTCAAATAAGGGACTTATATCCAGAATTTATAAAATCCTTGAGCATCACAAGATAAAGGTAAATAATCCAATAAACAAATGGGCACAGGATATGAGCAGACACTTCACTGAAGAAGACATTCAGATGGCTAACAAGCACATGAAGAAATGTTCAAAATCCCTAGCTCTAAGAGAGATACAAATTAAAACAACTATGAGATATCATCTCACCCCAGTCAGAATAGCAAAATTTAACAGAACAGCAAGCAACAAATGCTGGTGAGATTGTGGAGAAACTGGAAACCTTATTCACTGTTGGTGGGAGTGTAAAATGGTGCATCCACTGTGGAAAGTGGTATGGCGCTTTCTCAAAAAGTTACAAATAGAGATACCATTTGACCCAGCAATTCTACTACTGGGAATATATCCCAAAGAGACCATAACTAACATCCAACCAGATATATGCACACCCATGTTTATTGTGGCTTTGTTCACAATAGCAAGGAGTTGGTAATCTATTTGTTCTTGAAGTATATGTTGTTCTTATGTGCCGCTGAGTCACCTGCAACTCATAGTGACCCTATGTACAACAGCCCTAAACCCTTCTCTAGCCCTTGCCAATCTCATTGTCTCCGACACACCTATCCCCATAACCTCAGTGAATGAATCAATCCATCTCGAGGGTCTTCCTTTCCTGCACTGTCCCTCCAACCCTCCCAAACATGACGTCCCTCTCCAAAGACTGATCCTGCCTTGCAACATGTCCAAAGTATGTCAGACGAAGTTTCAGAATCTTTGCCTCCAAGGAGCAGCCTGGCTTCACCTTCTCCAGGACAAACTTGTTTGTTCTCCTAGCAGTCCATGGTATATTCAATACTCTTCTCCAGCACCAAAGCTCAAAGGCATCACTTCTCCTTCTATCATCCCTTGTCACTGTCCAGCTCTCTGATGTATAACAAGTAAGTGCAAAGGCCATGGCCTGTACCAGAAATCTGCTATTGGTCAAGCACTATGTTGATACTATTTTAGTATGTTTTAACATGAAGAGACCAATACAGGTTTTAGATATTAATTTTTTCTATGATAGACATTATTTTAGAAATAGCATGAAAGAAAATTAGCTTAGAGCTTATGAATGTTTTTCTCTAGTCTCTGGAAACAGTATAAATTTGAATTTGATATCTAAGAATTCTCTAAGGATAATTTTTAAAACAGAAAAAGTGTGCTAAGTTACAGAGGAATTTTCACTTAAAAACTGTTGTTCTTTTTAATTATTTCCAGAGCACATTTACAAGGATGGTAAACGATGAGAATACTGAAATAATAGTCTTCCAGTGACCTCAGGAAATAGTACAAGTAAACAAGAATGCTTACAGCTTTTTAATATAACTACCATAGTGCTTGTCTTACTTAATTTAAGAAATAAGAGAGACATATTTCACTAGTTTTATTTAAAAAACTAGTTTACAGAATTTGTCTAGCTTCTCATATTTAAAATGAAATTTGTTCCAATTATGTGAATTTTTTGATTTAATATGTCTGTATATAAGATTATGCCATTTAGTGCTTTAAAAATGAGGTGAAGACCATCTTTCTGGATGACTAAGGAGAGTGGTAATTGTTATCAACTGAAAAAGGAGTTACAATCTATTATTTTATTTTAAATTGCCAACAGAGTTACTGTACTGTTCTATACATAATACGTTTTAGCTTACATGTATGATTTTAATCAGTGATTTTACACACTGTTGTTGTTAGGTGCCACCAAGTGAGAACCGACTCATAGTTTTCTGAGGCTGTAAACTGCTCTGACGGAGACTGTCCTTTCTCCCACACAGCAATCTGGCAGATTTGAACCCCAGTGCAGCTTCTTGCCACTAGGCCACCAGAACTCCCTAAGCTCCCTATATTTCTTAGTCTCCTCTAATCAGAAAGTTTCTAAGCCTTTGTCTTTTATGATACACAATCACATCCTTTTAAAAAAAATTCATTCACTGCCTAACCACCTCATTTAAATGACGCCATTTATATTTGCAGCTCCTCACTTTCTACATAAGTAGTCAAGACGCTTTCCCTTTGATAAACATTACACTAATAGCCTGATTATTTATACCAATGAAAGGATACAGATCTTTCTATATAATTTTTACTAGCTTAAAAATGCTTAAATTTATTCCTCTATGATAAAAAAATGTTGCTTTCCTATATTGTGCTTGAAACAATATTAAAAAGACTAGTAATTTTCTAACTTGAGAAACATTCCAAAAGAAAACTAGATGGTAAAAGAGAATTAGTTTGTGATGAACTTAAGCAGCTATCAAAAAATAGGTAATTGAAAATTAGTTAACAGATTTTTATATGCATATCTACATGCTATATGCATTTTTGGGGGGCTCACAACTGGGCCTTAAATCCTTCATAAAAGTTATTTTTCTGCACACTCATGTTTACTGCTGCTTTGTTCACAGTAGCAAAGAGTTGGAAACAAACCAAGTGCCCATTAACAAACAAATGGATAGAGAAGCTGTGGTATAGTCACACCATGGAATGTTATGCAGCACTGAAAAACAAAGAACTCATTAAATATAATACAAAATGGGTGACCATGGAGGACATTATGCTGAGTGAAATATCTTAGTCATAAAAAGACAAATACAGTGGCAAGCTTTGGTGGCCTAATGGCAAGAAGCTGCACTGCAATCCAAGAGGTGCACAGTTCGAATCTACCAGATGCTCTGCCGGGAAAAGGAGGAACAATCTCCTGTACCAGTCAGATCTGATTTGACGGTACACACACAAAAAATAATAAAATAAATTAAAAAAAAAAAAGACAAATACTGTATAATGCCACTGTTATAAAACAGGACTGACAGGGGGGTTGGGGAAAACTAAGAAAAGAGGGGATAAATAATGTACACTGCAGTGAAACAGACGAGAGCGAGAACTGTATAAAAGGAATACATGACTAGGTATTATTGGTATGACAAGAGTCCAGAATAAGAGCTGCGTAGTAAAGTGGTCTGGGGCGGGCAGGAACGGGACACTGTATAAAAATAAAATACGTCTTTTTTTTTTTTTAAAAGGTGGGGGAGGCAGTCTTGGAGGTGACTCACTGTCTCCCAGATCTGTGTAATAAAGTGCTTATTGATATTGAGAAAAAAAAAAAGCAAACTGGGGGGGGGCAGGGAAGAATCTGTACAATAATGAATTAATGGACATTCAAGTTCTTTACAAACTTACAATAAAATCTCAATTTAAAAAAAAGGTTCTTTTTCATATTGACATTCATTCCTTAATATAAGCCTTTGCATTCTGGGGGCACTAAGCAAATTCTATACATAATACAGACAGCTATCAGTCCTCCTACCCTAGTCTTCTAGAAAGAAATAGTATTATCTATCCCAGTCTGTGAGAAAATTGTTCACCACATCCCCAAAAAAGATTCTCACTCACTGTCTGAGCCATCATCCTGCAGTTCCAGCGGCAGCAGTGCTTTCTCTTCTCGAGTCTTCTGAGAGCTACTAGCTGGAGTGCTGACTTTTCGAGGTCTTAAACTCTTGAGTGGTTCCTGGAGGCACATTGGCATCAGAGATCAGGGAAAAGAAGAAACTGGGAGATTAGAAAACTAGCACTGTAGCAAATGGAACTACTGTGGGAATATGGGTGATACTAAAAGGAAGTATATTAATTGAAGTGGTTCTAGAAAATCAGGAACCCCTTTGCACCTTATAGGCCTTGGTGACTATTCGGCGCTTCCTCCTTGGCTCTTCTGCTTCTCCATCACTGGAAGGTTCATCCCCTTCGTCGATGTCAAAGTCAGAGTCCACTTCGTCCTCTGTATCTGACTGGTCTCCTTGATACTCATCATCTCCTGATTCCTGAGGGCACAAGGAAATGAGGGCTAGCTGGCAGTGAAGACATCAATGACCCTCTGAGACTAAACGAAAATTCTTTGTTTTCATGCCAAGGGTGGTCTCACACTATTTCTTAACACAGTTCTTTATTTTTCTTGGGCAAGAAATACTCCTCCTTGCTCTAAGATGGATTGACACAGTGCCAGTAACAATGGGTAACTGTTACCATGGACTCAAGTATGTTGGAGATGGTGAGGATGGCACAGGAGATAGTAGGGTTCAGACCTGTTGTTCATAGGGTCACTATGAATTATAGGTGACCCAACAGCACACAACAACAACAAAACAGCTTTTAAAAAAAATATGGAATGTTTCATGAATTTGCATGTCATCCTTGTGCAGTGTCCATGCTAATCTTCTCTGTATCATTCTAACTTTAGTATATGTGTTGCCGAAGTGAGTACCAAAACAGCTATTACAGCACACTGTGTTAAATGCTGGAGAACAAAGGTATATGGTTTGGTCTCTACTTTTAGATAGCTCACAGTCTACTGGGGGATGGGATATAATCATAAAAAGAAGAGCTTTAATATAACACAACATAAAAAGTACTAACTGGTAATAAAATGTTATAGGGTTTCAGAGCAAGGCACATTTGCTGTGGGATAGTGGTATAGAAAGGTCTAAACTTTAGGCTTTACTCCTTTAAACCAGGCATTGGTAAAGGTTTTCTGTACATGGTCAAAGAGAAGTGAGTGGTGAGACAATTTGGTCTGTGGACACACTCTACTGAATTCTGCTTTGCATTCAAAAGGACAGAGAGGATGTTAAGTTCTGACTTAAAGTAAGGGCAGTATATTTCCTCCTCATTTATAGAGTATTTTGCTTTCTGACATTTTGCATTTACAATAATAAAAATTATACTACTTGACTTGTGCACTAACAAGATACATTTGGCAATAACAAATGCTGGCGTGCAAGGTGAGAGTAACACTGGCTGTGATAGTTATGAGTCAACTAAACCATGATTCTCAGTGATGCTCTGTTTATGTAATGATGTCTTGCATTTTGTGACCTAATGTGGTCATCTTCCAATTCTGCATAATGCTTACTTGCACATAACATGGTGTTCCTTAGAATTAAAGCATTTTAATAAGTGAGGAGCAGGTATATTTAAGACAACCAAGAGGAAAAAAGAGTCATGGACAAACAGAATAGCAGGAAAAAAGGTACAAAAGCAGGAAGATACAAAGCATGTTTACAGAATAAAGATTTAGATGTAAGCACTGCAGAGGGTTTGACTCTGGCAACAAGTCTTCCTTTGGATCTGGTACAGTCAGCCTCTTTCCAACACTAATCAATTACTTTTTTTTTTAATCAATTACTCTTAAAGGCTGTAAGATTTTTGGGGGGGGGGAATGATTGTATTTAGTCTATAGAGAAACTTTAAGGCTAATAAAATTGTGGTTTTAACCTACATGCCAACAATTTTCAATGTTCTCCCTTCACTTTACTGTCCTAACACTAATAATCATTGAGATAAATGTTTTATTCCCCAGATATGCTGGGAGAGAAAACATGTTAGACATTCTTTTAGCACATTGGTGGTGTCGTGCCTAGCATATAGCACTGCAAAGCCAAAAGGTCAGCAGTTTAAATCCACCATGGCATAAAAGATTTATAGCCTCAGAAACCTGATGAAGAATTGCTATGAGGTAGATCTGACTGCTACTGGAGACCATAGGCAATGAGGGACTGTGGAAACAAAGAAGATTTAGATAAGGTGACAACTATGTATAGAGAGTGTTCCAGAAAGCTCTGGAGGTGGTTAAATGGGTTGAAGTAGAGAGCTTGGAGTACAGTGCAGGCTTCAGAGTGATGTATATTAGGGTTAAAAATACTGCTAACGTCCAGAGGGAGCAAATGACAGGAAAATATCTTCTAACAGAGCAAGAAGGCAAGGAGCTTTAACCCAAGACCACCAGTAAGGAGATAAAGCATCCTCCCTTCCCCCCTTTACATCTAC